TCATTTATGGGGGTAATTTGTATTTACCTCACTTGTGGCTTTTGCATCCCTATTTTAAATTATCATGGAGGATTAAGAAAGAAATACTCTAGTGATTAAAAATTTCCAAAAGTGTTGCTACAATTGGCCCCCTGGCTGAAAATAGGCAAAGTGAATAAAATGTTATTTAAAAAGCCTGGAGCAGTTAAAATCATCAGCAGAAATCAGAGGGCATGTCTTTCCAAGCCTCAGGCTTGGATTTGAGGAAATCTAGAAAAACAGGAAGAATTTCAACCAGGCAAGCAAACAGCAAAATTTTGATCTAAGACAATATGGTAAGGTTGTCTTCAGAAAGTGATGCAAACCCTATGTTTTTTACAGTATCTATATAAATGTCAGTCCATTATAATTTATGTTTTTAGGCTTAATCCTAAGTGGATGCATTGTTTTCAAGCAATAAATTAGTTTAATTTAATTTAATCTAATGTCATCAAAAACCCCATTTGCTTAATAGTACTTTGTTCTAAAATTGTCCTTTCATAGAGTCCAAGGAGTATCTTTCTTCTTAACAACCTTCTCTACTATCAAGAAAAAAAAGGCTACTAACCAAAAGGTCTTCAGTAAGAGTCCACCAGCCACTCCTTGGAAACCCTGTTGGGGGAGTTCTACTCTGTCCTATAGGGTTGCTATGAGTCGGAATCGACTTGATGGCAATGGGTTTGGATTTTTTTGGTACAGAATTGAACTGCAAGCTCAGATTTCACAAACACTTAAATGCATATGGAGTAAAATTAAGTCTGTAAGAACTGTCCCTGTCAAGTGTGCTGTTAGAGACTGTAGTGTTTAAAAAATCACCATCTTACTCCAAGGGGTAATACTTTAATAAAAAGTATATAACTTCAGGCACTTTCATGATGCTTATCTAAACAGTGGAACAAACTAAAGGCCAAATGGATACTGTTTCTAATTAAAAAAAAAAATTAGACCATACATAAAGGAGGCAGTGTGTGATAGCCAGCTCAGAAGATGGCACCTGATAATTCTTAACAACCCTATGAAGAGGGTTGCCCTGTGTAGACAATAACATATTGCAGAAATGACAGAGCATGATCTCTGAGACTAGGTCTTGCTCTTTCTGTCTTGCTCTTTCTTGGATCACTACCTCTGGGAGAAGCCAGCTGCCATGTTATAAGCTTACTCAAGCAGCCCTATGGAGAGATCCACATGGCAATTAACTGAGGCCTCCTGCCAACAACTAGCACTAACTTGTTGGGTATGTGAGTAAGGCACCTTGGAAGTGGATACTCCAGCCCTAGTCAGGCTTATAGATGACCAGCACCAAATGACATCTTGACTGCAATCTTATGACAGATCCTGACCTAGAATCACCCTGCTAAACTGCTCCTGGATTCCTAACACATAGAAACTGTTTGCAATAATAAGTGATTTAGGCTGCTAAATTTGGGGTTAGTTTGTTATCTAGCTGTAGATAACTAATAATGGTAATGCATACAAAGGAAAGAGCATATAACATGTAACCTAGGAGCAACTTAAAATTAAATGCTCTCGACAGGTTATTAAACATCTGTATGTCTCAGCTTTGTTGTCAGTTACGAACAATAAATGAGATAACAGAATTTAAAGCACCTGGAAAGCAGTTTATCCTCAATAAGTATTTATTTTTTTCTTTAAATGTACTAAGGTTTACAGGATTTCCTTGACGGTGATCATTTGAAGGTATTCACATTGGTTATTCCCAGTACTCAGAAATGGAGTTTACAGGATGCCGAAGAAACTAGAAGCAGAGATAAGACTGGGATGCTCAAGCTCTGCTTCTGTGTTTTGTTTGTGTTTATTTTTGTTTTGGTTCTAGCCTCTGTATGAAGATCTTCGTTTAAGGAAGCTGAATTTTTACAAACACTCCCTTAAGTAGAAATGAATTGATTGTGTAAGTTATTTCTGAATATTTCTGTTAAGTACCAAGCATAAAAATCTCTAAGAAATAAAGCTTCTCAGATCTTTCAAAACTCTAATCCATTCTGACAGGGTTTCTGATAGTTTTATGCTCCTGGTTAGGGACGTTGGTGGTCACATAAGCAACTCCAAATCATGCTATATTTTTCTGCTCTGTGGGTCCACCTTGATTCTATTACGTCTGTGTTCTTGGTTAAATAAATTGGGAAATTATAAATGATTATTTGTATGTGCTGTCTCTCTCTCTCTTTTTTCAATCCATAATTGACCTGACATGATTTTACTGAGATATTTACCCTTGGCATTTTACACTGATATTTCAAATTATGTTTTATAGATTCTAAAGGTCCTTGACCTATATTAGGTCCCATAATGTAGGACTCAATCCATGGACTCTGCAAGGAGATCTGAAGACTTGCTGGGTTTAAATTCTAGCTCTACCACTGATTGTGTAAACTTGGACAAAATGCTTAAACACTCTGTGCCTTGGCTTCCCCAAGCACCAATCTGTCTAACTGGTTTGTTATGAGAATAAAACCAAATAATATTAAGTAAGAACTTAGAACATTGCCTGTCAAATAGCAAGTGCTGTTAAACAGATATTTTGATGAAGTAAACATTTGAATGTCCTGGTCCCTGAAGCTAGCAGGGTATACCCACTTTATGAGTGTAATAAGCACCATTCAGCAATCAGAATCCTCCTATCCCTTACTCTCTGCCTATAATCAACTTTGCTTTACTATAGCTTTGAGGGGAAATTATATATTCCAGTAGTGTTTAAGAATTTGGGAATTGCCCAAATATAACGCTAACAGATGATAAATGTATGCTTTCCTCTGAAATGAAAATGCCTTTGCCTTTCACAAGTGCATTTGATTTTCGTAACTCTTCGATTTTTCCCTAGGGGTGTGTGTGTGTGTGTGTGTGTGTGTGTGTGTGTATGCACATACGTGTGCATTGGGGGATTGGTTGGGGAGAATAAATCTACCTTTTCCTTTAGAGCAGTGGTTCTAAACCCCTTTGAAAATCTAAAAAAGCTGTAGCCCTTCTCCTTGTTTGGGGGAAAATAAATAAAACCTGAAGCTATGATTATGGGCACCAGTTGTCCCTTTGTTATATTTGCTGTGGGCCAGGACATACAAGGATCATTATTGTATCCTTTTTTTTAACAATAGTTACTGAGTTCAGAAATAGGAAAGAGAGAGAGAAAGCAAATGAGAAAATTTGAAACATGACCCCACTAAAGATGTGATACAAAATAGTCTTTAACAAAGGATTTCTCAACTAAACTACTAGGAATAGTTCTGTTTGTTCGTCTTTAAGAAAAGAATGGCACAGATTAAAAAGTGACTGTGAAAGACTATATGTAAAATAAGTAAAATAAGTCTAAGTTAGTGGCATTTAGTCAGTGGTTTGTGGAAAATCAGGGTTATCTGGGGAATCCCTGCTGTGGTGTCCTAATGTGGAGAGGGTTCTAACAGGTGGAATTAAGACTCCATTCATCCCACATCTACCAGAAAAGTGCTGTTTTCATAAAATTTACTTCTTGGGCTTCCAAATAAGAAGATATTTGAACAAAAGGCTCCATAATTTACAAAGGATTGAGGACCACTTTTCTGAATGTTTGTTCATATAGACAATCACAAACCGAAAACTTGTCAACCTGGGTTATCAGAATTTGAGAAAGGTTGTATTGGCAGCTATACAATCTCGTAAGGGGGGACAGAGTGACTACAGACATTTATCTGATGCTCAGTGTACAAAAACTTGGGGGCTCCCATAAAGCCATAAACAGGCAAATTTAAAATAATAAAATTAATTAAATTAAGTAAAAAGAAATATTGAACACCTCAAATTTTAGGAGAGGTTGCATATAAAATTGCTGCAGGAAAAGGTTTAGGTAAAACTGCAATCAGTTGTTAAGAACAAATGAGATAGTTACTGGAATAGCCTTTCTTTTTTCTTTTTTTTATTGCTGAGTACATCTTTCCCAAATCGTCTTTTTATTCCACTTTTAGAAATATTCACTTATATCCCACCCATTTTCATCCACTGTGGCAATACAAAATTTTACGTGATTTCACCAGCTTTCTGTTTAGACATTCAAATGAAATAAATGAAATGTAGTTATTATCCTTGAACCAAGTAAGTAAGCCCCATGCATATATGTCGAAGAATATGAAGTTGCTAATATCTGGCTTTTTGACTTAGAAATGGCAATTTCATACGGATCAACCTAACATTTTCTTGAATATATCCCTACTTAGTTTGAAGCAAAATATATGTAATGAATATAATACCCTATCCTCTGCATCACATTTTCCAGTTAACCCACAGGGGTCCCACATTTCTCTGAGGGCTTGATAAAAGCAGCTGAAGAGGTTTGAATGAGCCTACTGGCTGAAAGTAAAGAGAAAGTAGTCAAGTCCTGTCTTCCTTCTTCAACAGCTCTTGCCAAGGCTTCTGGGGCTTCTCAAGAGTAACGATCACACAGAGCTGAATTTCGAGTAGCCCTAAAATCCCCTTGGTTAGTCCTTTAACAGCCCCTTTAGTAATAGAATATCTAAAACAAAGTGTCCTATAAAACAAAATTTGAAAATATCTTGCAGGAGAATAAGATGGGTGAAAGGGCTGAGGCTTAGCAAGGAATGTAGGCAGAGACAGCAGCTCCAAAATGATTGCTTTTGAAGTGCTCTCCTGGAAGCTGAGCCCAAGCCCTGTAAGAGCTGGTTTGCTTCCCAAATAAACGTGGTTGCCAGTAAAAGCGGATGTGTGCTGGTTCAGAGGAGAGGGGAAGGGATGAAGTGCATCGGCGATTTGGGAAATTTGCAGGCATTTCCGAGATCATATAAACCAAAGTGGACATTTCTTCTGGATGCTATTAGCTACTCATCCCTCCCACGTGGGCCCCTTCAGTTTGCCTGCCCACAAGGAGACTGCTGAGAATCACTCGAGCCAGTTAAAGAAATTGCTTAAAGTAAGTATCTGAAACACAAACACATTAGCTCAAAGTGCTTGAAACGCAGTAATAATCGCAAAGCCCTTACTTCTTCTCTCCTTTGTACCATTCAAAGGCCGGAGGCGGCACACCTGCACCTTCACATCTTATCAATCCACTGCGCCCAGGGGTCACGGTGCCAGATTTAATTTCCTGAATCGTAGGAGCAACTGAAAAAAAAAGAAAGAAAAAACAAAAAAGAAAAGAAAAAAATGACCGTAAGTAAAAGAAAAAAATTCTTTTGCAGAAATATCACACACATATATTTTTATTCCTTCTCTATTCAAAGCAGTCTTATGCCTGATAGGCCAATGCATCACATTTTCAGCATTTTATGCTTCAGATACAAGATTAGTCATTTACAGCTTCATTTTTCAACTTGGACAATAGATGAATGTTCCCAGAGAGTACAGAGTAAATGCAAAACATTTTTTGGTCTTGCTTGGAAAAATGGCATTGGTGAGGTGACTGCTTCATCTGTACACCACTCAAACTACACTCCAATAATCATTCTCATTTATTGAGTGGTTACTGGGAGCCAGGCTGGGATAGGTGCTTGATGTTCATGATTTCCTTACAGTAATACTCCAAGCTAGATCGTATTATCCCAGTTTTACAAATGTGGAAACTGAATCTCAGAGAGGTTAAGTAATTTGTGTAAGGTCACACAGCTACTTAGCTGCAGAATTTGGATTGGAAGGCATATTGACCCAAAACCTGGGATTCCAATATTCTGTCTTTCACTGTCTATTCTCTGGGCTTTTTTAGTGCATTAGTGATGTCTTTTGTATGGTGTCTTCTTCATTCCCCCAGGTTCAAAGCCCATTTTTGGTGTCCATACTTTTTTCTGTTGCCCTAGGTTAGAAATAGCTTTTCCTTCTCTGAGTAGTTTATCTGACCTTCTCATATCATATACTTTCTATCTTGCATCTTAATTACTTATGGGTATGCCAGTCTTCCCTTTCAGCACCCTGAATGCAGGGTAAATATCTGATTCATCTTTGCATATTCAGAGATCAAAGCACAGTGTCTGGCACAAAGTCGTGATTATAAATCTTTTTTGTAGCATAGCCATTAATTTATTTATCAAATAGTTACAGAGCCATTGCTACATGCCAGGCATTTCTCAAGGCACAAAGCAGCCGCATTCCCTGGCATAATGAAGCTTGGATTGTGGGAGATGGGGAGACAGACTATAAGCAGTGAATTCAATAAATAAGTAAATTAAATGTTAGAAGGTGGTAAGTATCATGATAAAAAACTTTCAGAGGTGTATGAGGAACTAGGGCAAGAAGTTTATTGTAATTTTATACAGAATAATCTGAATAGGCTTCATTAAGAAAGTTAAAATTTGAACAAAGACTGGATGTAGATAAATGAGTTAGCTGTGTGGAGTCTGGAGAAAGAGGTCTTCTCTTCCACAATGAGGGAATAGGACCAAACAGAAGCAAAAATGAGAAGATCAGGTAGGACCTTGGAGGCCATTTTAAGGATCTGGCTTTTACTGTGAGTGGAATTGTGAACATTACAGAGAAGAGAAACAATCTGACTTTTTATCCAAAGATCACTCCAGCTGCTGTACTGGGAAAAGACCTAGGAGATACGATGGTTACTTTATGTGTAAACTTGCCTAGGCTATGGTGCCCAGCTGAATGGTCAAACACTAGTTTAGATGTTTCTGTGAAGGTATTTTGTAGATGTGATTAACGTTTACAATCAGTTGACTCTAAATAAAGGAATTACCTTTGTCTTAGTTATCTAGTGCTGCTGTAACAGAAATACCTCAAGTGGACGGCTTTAACAACAAATTCATTCTCTCACAATTTAGAAGGCTTGAAGTCCGAATTCAGGGAGCCAGCTTCAGGGGAAGGCTTTCTCTCTCTGTCAAATCTGGGGGAAGTCCTTGTCATCAATCTTCCCCTGGTCTAGAAGCTTCTCAGTGCAGGGACCCCAAGTCCAAAGGGCATGTTCTGCTCCTGGCTCTTTTTGCTTGGTGGTAAGGAGGTCCCTCTCCTCTCTGCTAGATTCTCTCTTTTATATCTCAAAAGAGACTGACTTAAGATACAACCTAATCCTGTAGATTGATTCCTGCCTCATTAACATAACTGCCTCTAATCCTGCCTCATTAACATCATAGAGGTTTTGATTTACAACACATAGAATAATCACATCAGATCACAAAATTGTGGATAACTACACAGTACTGGGAATCATGGCCAATGTAAACTGACATGTATTTTGAGGGGACACAATTCAATCCATAACATTACGCCCTTTGTCCTCCCAAAATTCAGGTCCTTGACACGTGTAAAACACATTCACCTCATCCTATCATCCCAAAAGCCTTACATCAACTCCAAGTCCAAATTCTATCCTGGAGTAAAATTCCTCTTCATCTGTGAAATCTAGAATACAAGTTATCTGCTTCCAAAGTACAAAGGTGGAACAGGCACAAGCTAGACATTTCCATTACAAATGGGAGAAATTGGGATGAAAGAAAGGATAACAGGCACCAAGCAAATCAGCAGAACAATTTACATTAGCTTTCAAGGCTTGAAAAGAATCCTCTGTTCTGAGATCATTTAGGTAATGGCCCTGCCCTCCAAACTCTGGGTGTTTGCCACACTCTCCAGATTCTGGGGGAGGCCCCTCAGCCCTGGGCTTCAGCTCTGCCTTCCAGGCCTCAGCTCCCTTGGATTTGGGCAGACCCCTTCTTCTAGTCTCTCTCAGTAGTGACCCTACGCCCTTGGCCCCTGCAGGCCCCGTTCTTCTGCCCCTCATCTTTGGGTAGCAGATCTGGCCCCAACCCGCTGGCACTTGTGAAAGGCAGCCTCACACTCTGAACCAAACTGGTGAATATCTAACCCTTTCAAAACTAGGAGGCCGTACCTCCACCCTTTGAAACCCAGCAGGCTGTGGTTCCACCCTTTGAGAACCCAGAGGTTGTGACCCTATCTTTTGAGACCGAGGCAGGTCTGCTTCTTGTGCTCCTTGTGTCTTCAGCTTCTGCTTCCTGGTTTCTTGGCCTCTCAGCCTCTTGGTCCCTCAGGCCTCTTGGGCCAGCCTGGCCTCTGTCCTGCTTGGGTAAGTGTTACAAAGCTCTTTAGCTCTACCGATAAGTGCCTGGAGGCACCACACTTTGCCAGTAAACCTTGGCCATAAGGCACTCGGCTCTCTCACTCCATAGGTCAGCAAGCCTAGCCGCACCAATAAGTGCCTGGAGGCATCCCACTCTGACAGGAAGCCTCCTGCCCAAAAGGCAATCAGCTCACTTGCTTCCTGGGTTGGCTCCCACACTGTCTCGCTTCGGTCTCCTGGTTCTGCTGCTGCTATTTCTCTGCTGCTACTTCTCACTGTCTGCACCATCTCTGGTGTTACAGCTCACCTCACTTCTTTCTGAGCTCTCACCATAATTGCCTTTGATGTTCATAATTCCACCAGCAGTCTCTTCAAGGCAATCTAGGCCTTCACTATTAGGCACTTTGAAACTCTTCCAGTCTGTACCCATTACTCAATTCCAAAACCAACACCACATTGTAGGTATCAACCAGTCTCCTGGTACCAAATTCTGTCTTAGTTATCTAATAACAACCCTCACTAATACCTCTGGGCCCCATCCAATCAGTGGAAGCCTAAAAGAGCAAAAACACATTTCCTGGAGAAAAGGGAATTCTGTCTCAAGTTGTAACATAGAAATCCTGCCTGAATTTCTAGCCTGCTGCCTACCCTATGGATTTCAGACTCAAGACTATGTTTCCAGCTTGCTGACCTGCCCTACAGATTTCAAACTTGCCAGTCTCCACAATCACACGCGCCAATTCCTTAAAATCTCTTTCCCTCTCTGTGTCTCTGCCTGTGTGTGTGTGTACAATAATTATTATATATAAATATAAATACAAATATAAATATGTAAATATATATAAGTAAATATATGTATATATGTAACTATAACTATATATACAGCTATATATATAACTGTAACTATAAAACTATATATATAGAGAGAGAGAAAGAGAGAGAGTTAGCTAGCTATCCTATTGGTCTATTTCCACGGAGAGCCCTGACTAATACAGGGGGCCAGGACAAAATCTGAGGAACTACGTAGGAAGCTAGGAAGCTATTGCAGTAAACTAGACAAGAGGCATTGGCAGCTCAGACCATGGTGGTAACAGTGGAGGTGGTGGTGTGGTGGGAAGTGATTGGGTTTGAGGTCTACTATGAAGCTGGAGCCAACAGGATTTCTTGATAGTTTGAAGTGCGATGGAAAAAAAAAAAAGGGAGATGTCAAGGTGGCTTAATTTGTCTTAAGTTACTGGAGGGTTAGTATTCTCATTGACTGAGATGGGAAGATTATAAGTGGAAAAGTTTCGGAGAGAAACATTAGGAGTTGAATGCATGTGTCTTTTCATGAATTTTTTTTTCTACCAAGTTTTGAATATAATACATATTTTAAATTATACTATGGGAAAGAGTTCAATACAACAGGAACCTTGAAGATAAAAATATTTGTTCATTCAGACAAATGACCTGAGTAAATGTGCACCTTGGATATATTTTTGGCTTCTGTGGAAAGCAATAAAAAAGTACAGGCTTTAATGTTTTTTTCAATATGCAGTGAATATAATAAATGTAAACACTCTTACAACAGAACATTGCTTTTCCCTTTAAAAACTCCCTAGAAAATATATCATCTTCTATTAAGGGTGATGCTTCACTTTGAAATTATAGCACCTCCATTTCTCTGTGGTGTTTTTAGTCTTCATAGTTAAGGTTCAATTTATAATTCTAGAGAAAATAATTACAAAAAAATATTTTTTTCAGAGTACCTGTTAATAACTTGGTGAAAAAAGAATGAAAGAATGTCTACCAAATAAGTATGAATGAGAAAATATTATGAGATTATATATATACTATTATATATATATATTTCTGACGTTGTATGTGTGTGTACATTAGAAATCATTTAATAATTTTAACTTTTTTTGCTAAGCAAAGATTCATGAATCCCCATAAAGGCAATGAAATATATAAAACAAACAAACTCGTTGCATTCGGGTCGATTTTGACACATAGCGACCCAATAGGACAGAGTAGAACTGCTCCATAGGGTTTCCAAGGCTGTAATCTTTATGGAAGCTGACTGCCATATCTTCCTATCGTGGAATAGCTG